GTGCTTCTCCCCATTACCATCCATTACATGTCCTGTTTTTCCCCTGTAATCCCTAGCAAAGATGAGAGACATCTCCTGAAGTTGTTTACTTACAAATATCCAATTATCTCATTTCTGTCCACATATACAGTACTGCAGCTTCTAATAAGCTCATAAAGACTTGTTCTAAATGGAGAGGGAGCTTTTTAATGGAGTGGATGAATAATTTATTAAATAAATGATGCAAAATCTTTCGTTATGGTGGGAGTAGTAATAAGTGGGCAGCTACTGGAAAGCAGAAGTAGTGGTTTGGTATAGGAAGGGAAGCAAACTAAATCTTTGCTCTTAATTTAGAGAAATGTGTACTCTGATGTGTACACTATGTCAATAGTGATGTTACCTTACTTGGCAGACAGTATTACTGGCACTTAAATATTACCAATGTGAACTCAATAAATTATCTATAGACCTAATACATACATTGCATCCATTACATGAATAATGGTAAACTAGTATCCATGTGGACTGCTGAAGAGATTAACAGTCTGTATTAGGAAGAAGAGAGGGACGTGGTGGTGCTGCGGGTTAAACCCGCAGAAGCCTCTGTGCTGCAAGTTCAGAAGACCAGCTGTCATGAGATCAAATCCACGTGATGGAGTGAGCTCCCATCGCTTGTCCCACCTCCTGCCAACCTAGCTGTTTGAAAGCATGTAAAAATGCAAGTAGATAAATAGGTACCACCACGGTGGGAAGGTAATGGCGTTCCATGTCTAATTGCGTTGGCCCACATGACCACGGAAACTGTCTACAGACAAACGCTGGCTCTACAGCTTGGAAATGGGGATGAGCACCGCCCCCTAGAGTCGGACACGACTGGACATTTGTCAAGGGGAACCTTTACCTTATTAGGAAGAAGAGTGATGCCCCTTAAAATGCATGATGTTTGTTTGGTAATAGGTTGCAAGAGGGTTTTCTCTGGAAAAGTTCTATATGTGGAAGGCCCTACTCAAGGGGCTAGATTAGCTCCATATTTGCTTGCATTCTGCTAGTGTTTTGATTTCTCCCCCATCCCCAGCAAGCTGCAAGCCTTTGATTGTACACTAGGTATGTGTGTTGTGTCTGTCTCAAGATTTGTAAATATTGTTTTAAGCTTATATTTGATGTTTTAAACAGAACTTGTTGAACTTGTTGAAAAACAGCCCTGACCATTGTTTCTGTGTTTGCATGAGAAGTGGTTAACTGATGAAAAAATGAGTTAGCTTCTGGGATTTTGACCTGTTTGGTACGTCTTTGTGAATAGCAGGGAGCGAAAGAGGGTATCCTGTAGACCACTGGTTCTTAACCTTTGTTACTCAGATGTTTTTGGACTGCAACTCCCAGAAGCCTTCACCATCAGCTCTGCTGGCTGGGGTTTCTGGGAGTTGCAGTTCAAAAACACCTGAGTAACAAAGGTTAAGAACCACTGCTGTAGACCACAATTTCCCAGCCTGGGTGTTGCGATGCCCAAGGGGATCACAGAATGTTCTCTCTCTCTCTCTCTCTCTCTGTGTGTGTGTGTGACTACAGTTATTTTTAGTTGCAATAATTTTTAATATTAAATAGGATATATGCAATGCTATTTTATTTTAATCTTCTTGACCCACAGAGGCAACCTAGAGTTCTTCGTTATTTCTGTACCCCTTTGGGTGGATTTTCCTTTTATGCATGAGCATCACTCCAACCCCCTCTGAAAGAGACACTCTCGCTTGTTTCTCTCTGCTCTTCCACATCCACTTTTGGAGGGCTGATTTCAGCCTTTCTGACCCAAGTGTTAGCCCAGCAGAAAGGCCACAAAAGAGGCCTGAATGGGGTGCATGCCAGGAATACTAATACTCAAGATGGTGGCAGGATTGGGAAATTATAGCTGCAGTGGCTGTGGTGGTAGCAGCACTGTCACCTTTTGCATTGCCTGAGTCTCCCACTCTTCTGAGTGCAGCGATGGCAGCACACTGAGGGGAGAGGCGACCTGAGTGGGGTAATTCTTCTGGGTCCCACCTGAGTCATAGAGGAGGAAGGCAAGAGGGGCAAAAATGTGAGGGATTAAAACTGGAGGGGCACATGGGCATAAGGTGGGGCCCATGGGGGGAAGTGTTTATTTGGCTCAAGGAGGAGGGGCTCTTTGCTGAGGGCGCTTTTTTTAGGGAGAAGAGACATGAAGGGAGGGTTGTTTCCACCTCCAAAAAAGTACATTAAAGTCAAAGTGTATGGGCATGTTCTTTTCCTTTGCAAATGTTATCTGGTAGAGCATGTTTATAGCCTCCCAACTATGTATTATGACATTGATATAAATATATTAGGTTAGAATTATATTCAGAAAATGTTTTAAATGTGTTTTCTTTACCTTATTAAAATGCCTTTTAATCCAAATTTGGCAAGGGGGAGTCACAGATTACTTGGCCAGTATAAAAGGGAGTCATGGCTCAAAAAAGGTTGGGAAACACTGCTGTAGACTATCTTGGCTGCTGACATGGGTGTCATGAACATCCAGGTGGCCCTTTCCTATGTAAAGTTTGGCGTCCTTCTTCCTGCTGGCAGTGCGGGCACAATCTTGAACAGCAGCATTAGGCCATTTCCTGACATTTTGAATTATGGATAGAGAGGCACAATATCCCATACTCATTGACCAGAAGTTTTTTAATTTTATTTACAGAACTGAATCAAACTATTCTTTGCTCCAAATAAACAGTCCGACCATCAATGTTTTGATTTTTTCCCCTGAATAGATGGACAGATTATTTTCTAAGAACGAATCTCCATGTGCCCTTCATGCTCTCAGATGGTACTGCCCATACAGTACTTCTCTGGGAGATTTATTTGGCAAACCTGTTTGTTGCAACCTAGGATAACCTAATTTGTGCTTGTTTTTGGGAAAGCAGGATCAGAGTCCAAATGATTAATATCCATGGGCACTCACTTGGCCTGAAGATAATTCATTTATATCAGGCAATAAGTTTGCTCTGAGGAGAGAAATAGTTTTAGTGTTTGTATGGGTGTATTCAGGAGGAGTTCTTTTTATAACTATGATCATTACTGCATAATAGGTTGCAAACCTATTATATACTCACACTCAGTTTTCACCGTATAGCTTTCACAGTCAGCTGAAAAAAACATATGCTAGATTGCTATGAAAATGAGTCAATGAGTTCTGAATCATCCTGAACTAGATGAAGTGAGTCCTGTTTGTTATTACTTCCAACTACCATAGAAGATTGCTTGAGGCTCCTCGTCCCCTCCTTTTAAATCATTATATTCCTTCACATATTATAGTCTTCTAAGTCTCATCACCAGGAGCTAGAGATAGGCAACTTTGTGGTCATTTCTGGTTCATAGAGTCATAGGCATCAGACTATGGCTGGATGAAATACCTGTTCTCTTATGAGGTGTAGTCCTAACTGGACAAGATGTCTGTATTGCTGATACTAGGCTAACTGGATGTTTGCTGAATCCAAACCCCAGCCCATCCTAAGGATGCTGGAGATTATTTAGGAGTACTGTCACCTTGGCCTAACTTTATATTGGCGGTGTGGTTGTATCCCTGTATGGGAGCAGGTTTGGATCTGGCATAGCTGAGCCGCTTCTTTGGGGTCCCCTGCCAGCTGATCTTAACTAGCACATCAGGTTTATGTCCAGACAAAGGCTGCTATGCCAGCAAAAGGACTTTCTGTCCATTGCAGATCCATAACAGCCATTACATCTTTGAGTTAGGATGGCACTGGTTGTTTTGTAATAGTGAATTGCAGATTGCTGTAGTGATATATGATGTGATATGATGTGTTCAAGCTGTTACGAGCATGGGTTTTCTTAAAAGAGCTGTTCCAAGTTCTCCTTAGGACAGGAGATGAAAAATGATGCCATTTCTACGCTCACTTCTTCAATGGCTGCTCATCCATAAAAATAGAACTTTAAATCTGGGAGTGATCCCAGAGAGAATTTAGTTCTGCAGTCTATTGTGATGGGAGAGCACATTGATTCTAAATGATGTGTGATATTTTCTGAACAGCTCGTTGTCCAGTTTTCTTGCACTGGAATGGTATACAACATTTATGATGAGGAAAATACAACAATGAAATTATTTTCCAAATCAGTGCCTGGGCTGTATTAAAGCACATAAAAGTGACTTCACTGGATAGCAGGGCTATTGACCATGCTAGTTGGGTCTTTCTAGGAGTACTGTCCAAACATGTAATCTTTCAATCTCTATTCCTCCCACCACCACCACCCCCGCTGCACTATCATTTTGTGGCTTTTTTGTTCAGTTTATTATCCCAGCTGCTTAAACACATCTGGGAAATGCTTTTTAAAAAATATTGCCTCATCCCTTTTGTCTCTTTTCTAATATTTGATGTTTTTATTGGTACCAGCTTGGTCTGTCAAAGGTATTTCTGAATTCAAACATTGCCATTTACTGAGGTGCACTACAAACCTGAGTGAGTGACAAATGCCCGTAAACTCTGCAGTAAAATTAGAAAACAGTGTCTAATTTCCACAGAATACTTGATTCTAGCTTACTCCCAGCTCATTGTGGATATTTGAAAAGAGTAGCTTCTCCTGCAGGTTTGCTCAGTCTGCATTGAAAAGTGATGATAACAAAAGATGCAATCAGCTGGAAGGAATATGTGTTGCAAATCTCACTGAAATGAATAAATTGGAGCGAATGGATATAATCTAGAAACTAGTTTGGTGGCTTGTAATTCACGTTTCTGACCCTACCTATATTTGCCTTTAATAAAATATTCTTGTTCCGTATGTGAGCAGCAGATGCTGACCAATTTTACTTTCTTGTCAGTGTTCTTTGCAATGTTTGTGTCATCCTCAAATGACAAATGGTAGTGAATTTCCATGTTGTGATTTCTGTGAGTGTATGGCACAGCAGAAACATGACATAGAGTTCCTCATCCATTCTTATTAGATCCATTTTTAGGATCAATTAATTCCCCATCTTCCATTCTTAACATTTTGCTTTCTTGTGTTCTTTGTTTCAGATCTCCAGCTTGGTACCTGCAGATCTATTCCAGTTATATCAGCGACTGAAATTTGAAAGAGGTGTGGCTTTTATATTAACTTATGGGGAATAATGCTAATAGCCTCATATAATTAAACTTACGTAATAGTAAATAATGTGTGTATTTGCTAGACTGATAGAACAATTCTCTACATTTCTTCTGGGAAATAAGTCTTATTAAAGTTCAGTGGGACTTGCTCTCAGATAAGTAAGTACAGTTTTTTTAAAAAAACCTTCCACTTTATGAGCTGTGGGTGTTTTCTGAGCCAGTTAAAATTCTGAAATATTGATGGGTTAAGGTTACAATGCACACATCTTGAACTTTCTGAACCCAGTGAACAGCCAGTTAAAATTCTGAAATATTGATGGGTATCTTTAGGAATAAGGTTAGGATTGTGGTTAAGGTTACAATGCACACATCTTAACTTTCTGAACCCAATGAACTTTCTAATTCCTCTTCTTGAATGGGGCTAATCTGGTGACAACCAGAGTATGTTACTTCTGTTCCTCAGCATTGCAGTTTGCTAAAAAAAAATAGCTTGGGATATTATTATTTTTTCTCCGAGTACATTACATTGGCTGTGACAAATGACTGCTCTAATGGTAATTGCAATGGATTTATTGGGATAAGAAAAGCTGTTCCTTGTTTGTTGCAATGAATATGCACACCCAGCACCCACAACTTGTTGGATAACCTGTTTACAACTCTTCAATGGCAATGTTGTTGAACATGTACATTGCAGTTGTGTGGATTCTGCAACAGAACTTTACTCTGGGAGACCAAAATGTCTCATCTTGGTTTATGAGAGTTTAAAAATGTGGTGAGAAAGTTCAAGCTTTGTTTTGTTCATATTCTTGCATTTCCCCCTTTACACAATGGTGGGACTCTGAATGCACAATGTTCTTTGGTACCGTGTGTCTGGTTGGGGGCTAGTAGGGATCTGATTTTATATGTAGTTCCCTTGTAATAAAATGTTTGGTTGGGCAGTTCTAGGATGATCTCTCTGCTCTTCGTCTTCCATCACATTGTATTCATCATGACAAAGATTGTTATGCCATCAATTCTAATGTGTCTGAACTGGTTAAGCAGGAAATTCCACCTTGGGCATGATAGCTTTCTTGTCTGTGTTCTTCTTTCATCTCTTACTGAAGGCTGGATGTCGTCATGTTTGCTCAGAGTTGGCATGCAGCAGTTCTAAACAGTGATGTTTGTGTTGCATCCAAACCAGTCTTCTTTAACCTTTCATGCTGTGGTAAAAATCATGTCAGCAAACTCTATTTTTTGAAAAGGAGATCTGAATAGTGTTTTGCATATAGTACCCTACATCTGAGTGGGAGAGATGCTTTTGTCTCCCTTACCTCAGGTGGAGGTAAAACGAAGACAATTGACCTGTCTTCCTGTCAGCAAGAAGAACAGACCAATCATTACACATCAAGAGTCCAAAGGATGTTTTTCAGTTACTGTGATGATCATGTGGTCTTTTTTTGGGGGGGGGGCAACTCACCCTCTGTTTTTTTATGCCAGCATGGGCTGGTCTATTCACCAGCATCTGGGGTTGAGTAAGAATTTTTGGGGTGTGCAGTTGTTTCACTTGCTTCATGCTGCATCGGTGGCAGGGGGTACTTTTAAATTCAGGGCTTCATCTATATTTCAGTTTTGCTAATTAGCATTAATGTTCACAATCCCATTTAATTTAAGTTTGTTTGGCTTCTAATTTATGGATTTGTTACTTCAATGTTCCCTTAATCTGGCTGTTTATTTTAATTGATTTGATTAGTCAGCTCTAGGATTGGCTCAGCACACCCTCTCTCCCTTTCCAGCAGCCAGGGGGTGGAACCTAAGGCTCGACAAACTCTCTTGGATTTTGTAACTGCATCTGGCCTAGGAACTAAACAGTCATGATCTACTTCATTTGCCAAGCTGGCTTTTCACTGGGGTTTAAAGTCAAGCTGCTTTACAGAGCACCTTCTTTAAAGGTGTGCTTGCCATACAGTTATTTTGATTTGTGGGTCTTGGTCCTCTCCATGAAGTATAGATACAGATTTATTTTCCAAGTGATTTGATTTTCAGTGTTTTACGATTATACTTAAAGAAAAAGGTGTCACATACATATACTCTTGTGAGTTTGGAGCCACCCATTTGGCTGAGTCCTAAAGCATGAGACTGAATACAAACAAATAAATGGTACTTAAATACAAAGATCAAGCATGTGTTTGTTTCTGATAAATCTTTTTAGAAGTCCATTTGGATCCACTGAGGACCTGGTGCCCCTCTGCTGATTGTCAGACTGTGTGCCAAATTGAGCCGAGTGAATCTGGATTGCCAGTGCCTGTAAAATGCCAAGCATGCTTCTTGATGTTCTGCTCATCATGCAAAGAACCTTGGCACCTGGAGAGATTGTGCCTGGATAGTCCTCTAAATGTGGTACCAAATGAGCAAGGGTAAGAGATGGATCTGTCTAGGTGGGACCAGTTTTCAATATGTCACAATTGCAATAAATCCTATTTTTCTCAGCCATGAATTCAGTTTCTGTGGTCTGCTGAATCTTAAAAATAACACTTTAAACAGAATTGCAGAACCATTCAAGGTGGATTTAACTCGAGAATTTCATGGCCTGTTGAACACTTTGATTCTGCTTCATACTGGCTTCTTCTTGGTCTGTATGGCGGACAGTAAATAGGAAGCTGTGTAGATATAATCCATGAAATGTAATAAGATACGAAAAGCTGATCTGCACTGTATGAAAAAGTAGTGATAGAAAATTTGTGATTAATTTACTCATATTTTCTTCATGCTTCTGTTACTTGTGGTAGGAAGAGGAGTGGGGAGATCATACAATCATAGAATAATGGATATATAAAAATTATATACCTTAACAATGTCCAAACCCTTGTGCAATGCAGGAATCCAAATCAAAACAAATCTGACAGATGGTTCTCTCGTTTTCTCTGGAATGCCCTCCAACATTAGAGCACCCACCACTTCCTGAAGGAATTGATTCCATTGTCATACTTCTCTAACACTTAGGAAACTTTCCCTGCTATTCAATCAAAATTTGGCTTCCTGTAACTTGAGCTCATTATTATGTGTCCTGCACATTGGGATGACTGAGAATAGTTCCTGTCCCTCCTCTGTGTGACTACCTTTTCAGGTATTTTAAAAGTGCCATCATATTTCCCCTTGCTCTTCTTTTCTGAAGGCTAGGCATGCCCAGTTCTTTCAGTCTTTCCTCATAGGAAAGTTCTTTGATCATCCTTGTTGCCATCTTCTGAACTTGTTCCAGTTTGTCAGCATTCATCTTAAATTGTGATTGTTCAGAAATGGACACAGAACTTAAATTCCTGAGCCTAACCAGTGCTGAATAGAAGGGGACAAGTACAGGATTTGGAGAGTATACTTCTGTTAATGTTGCCTAAAATAGCATTTACCTTTTTTTGCAACCATGGCACACTATTGATTCATATTCAGCTTGTGATCAAAATTTCCCCCATCTTGTAACTCATTTGATCTGCCCAATTCAGGTGTAGATCCTAACGCACTTATCTTTGTTAAATATCATTCTGTTGTTTTCAGCCCAATGCTTAAGCCTATCAAGATCTTTTTGAATGTTGTTTCTGTATTTCAGGGTATGGATGACTAATTTTTGTGTCGTCCACACATTTAACAAACATTTCCTGCACCCCCTCATCCAAGTCATTAACAAAAGTGTTGAAGAGTGCTGAGCCCTGTGGTACCCCACTTGTAACCACCTCTCAGTTTGAGAAGGAGCCATTAGGAAGCATTTTCCAAGTATGATGCATGGAAAAATGGTCCATTTTTCCAGCGAAAGAGTTGTATGACTTTTGTTCTTGCTTACTATTTTGATGCATAGCAACAAAATGCACAGATGTCTTTTGTAACCTCTCTTGATGTATAGGCTTGGATAGAGGCACAGAGGAAATATGTTTTAAACATTATGCTTGCTACATTGTTGCTATAGGAAAGTACATCTTGTACATCCTTGGATGGAATATGAGGGTCAAACTGTACTCTACAATTTACTCTTAGAAAATGGAATTCTTTAAGTGTAGAGAATATATCATTATCACAACAGAATGTTTTGTACTTCTGTAGTCTGCAAACTGGGATATCATATTGTAGAGGATAAAGTGACTAAAATCTAGGAGGCCTGGGTTTGAATCTCCAGTCAGCCATGGGAACTCATTGGGGATATGGAACTGGTAAAACCACTCCTTAAATATCTCACTTACCTTAAAGCCTTATTAGGATTGCTATAAGTTGGTTCCAATTTGATGGCACTTAACAACAACAGTCTGCAAATCACCTTTATTTGATGATTGGCCATCACAAAGTATGCACATATTTTGGTTCAACGTATACATGCTCAGTCATGATAGTTTATCAGAGTCACATCTCTGGAACACAAATGGATTTCAGCTTCATATGTTACTTGTATCTTGATCCTAAGATTCAAACTAGGCTATATGTCTAGCACATGTTTAGAAGTGGTGTTCTCTCAATCACCTTTATTTGATGATTGGCCATCACAAAGTATGCACATATTTTGGTTCAACGTATACATGCTCAGTCATGATAGTTTATCAGAGTCACATCTCTGGAACACAAATGGATTTCAGCTTCATATGTTACTTGTATCTTGATCCTAAGATTCAAACTAGGCTATATGTCTAGCACATGTTTAGAAGTGGTGTTCTCTCAAGTGGTGATTTATTTATTTATTTATTTATTTATTTGTTTGTTTATTTATTTATTTATTTATTATTTATTTATTTATTTTATATCCCGCCTATCTAATCAGTTAAGACTACTCTAGGCAGCTTACAGTAGCAAAAACGACAACAATATAATTAAAAGCAATTTTACATATAGCACATGTTTTTCCACCCTTCTGTGTCTTACATTTAACCTTGCTTTCTTTTGTAATTGGTCATTGAAAGATATGCCCAAGCATACTTTGCGAGTGCAATTGCTGAGCAGATATCTTTGAGGAAATTATAGTGCTGGAGAGAGAGAGAATGTATTGTGTGCCTTCCTGACATTGAGTTTGACCCTTTTTGCTGTTGTTGTTGTTTAGTCGTTAAGTCATGTCCAACTTTTTGTGACCCCATGGAACACAGCACACTCCTGTCTTCCACTGCCTCCCGGAGTTGGGTCAAATTCATGTTGGTAGCTTCAGTGACACTGTCCAAACATCTCATCCTCTGTCGTCCTCTTCTCCTCTTGCCTTCACACTTTCCCAACATCAAGGTCTTTTCAGGGAGTCTTCTCTTCTCATGAGATGGCCAAAGTATTGGAGCCTCAGTTTCAGGATCTGTCCTTCCAGTGAGCACTCAGGGTTGATTTCCTTAAGAATGGATAGGTTTGTTCTCTTTGCAGTCCAGGGGACTCTCAAGAGTCTTCTCCAGCACCACAATTTAAAGGCATCAATTATTTGGCGGTCAGCCCTCTTTATGGTCCAGCTCTCACTTTCATACATCACTACTGGAAAAACCATAGCTTAGACTATGGAGACCTTCATTGGCAAGTTGATGTTTCTGCTTTTTAAGATGCTGTCTAGGTTTGTCATCACTTTCCTCCCAAGAAACAGGTGTCTTTTAATTTCGTGACTGCTGTCCCCATCTGCAGTGATCATGGAGCCCAAGAAAGTAAAATCTGTCAATGAGTTTGACCCCTAGACACTAAAATTGGCTGAAATTCATCCAAGCAACATACTTCATGACTAGGCAGTCAGCCAGAACAAATATGTTTTTGTATTAAAACAGCTATCTTTCACCAGTGTTTCCATCTCATTTTTCTAGAGCACTTATCAGGACCAACACAGATGCTCCAATTAAACAGTGCCCAGTTTGTCGGATCCATATTGAACGGAATGAAGGCTGTGCTCAAATGATGTGTAAGAATTGCAAGCATACATTTTGCTGGTACTGTCTACAAAACCTGGATGTAAGTTACCTGAGATAAAAGCTTTGCTGTAGAGTTTTGTGGGCTATTGCCCTATAATTCCTTGACAAGTGTGATTACCAGAAAAATATGTGGACAACTAAGGGAATTTCAAGTTTAGAGTTTGGAGAATGATGCTAGGCAAACTTTTAATTCACACTCTCCCCATCTCTGGCATGATCTCAGGGAAGGGTTTTGTTTTTCCTTTTTATTAAATGCAGTATGTTGTGTCATTTGAATCACCACATTGTAGCTAATCTTTTTTATGGTTAACAGATCACATCCTCAGACTTTGATTTAGCAAGCTAGCTTTTTTCTGTTAAAGACAGTTAAGATTAACCACAGTTTACTGTTTGGGGAAAACACTGAGCTGTAGATATTTTCATTCTTTCTTGAGGCCATGCCAGAGAGGAGTCTGCACAAGCCCAATGCTGGTCTAGGCTCAATTTCATAATACTAAACCATCTTAATTGGATACTAATGAACTGGCTGTGTGTGACCGTTCATTCTGAACAATTTTTAATAGTAACACAGGGATATTGTGCTAATCTATTAATCTGTCGCTACTGGCAATAAATGGAGAAAACAATAACATATTTTGAAAATTGGCTTTCCAAGTACTATTTATTTTTTCTTTGACATACTATCTTGTATCAATTTGGGAAACTACCATATTCTGCCCATGTAATAATCACTGCTAATCACAAACTTCCATTGATAATTTTATGCACAACTGTCAGTGGAGATAAATAATGAAGCAAAAATTGTTTTGATTCTTTTCCACAAGTGTCTGTGTGAGTACAATTACTGTTATTTATAGATGATATTTAACACAAATGAAATTATCTCATATTGGCTCTCCAGAAGCATGTTGAGAGGTTCTAGCAAGAAATGAACGAAATAAGGTGAGACAGCACCAAATTCAATGGACACTAACCCCCTAAATGATAGCTAAAAATGAAGAAAAGTTTTCTGAACACAAGCTCTTAATATTAAAACCTGAAGAGGCTAGTCTAAACTTATGGAGAACAGAAAAAAACACCTTGCTGAATGAATGAATGCTGAAGAGTGTCTCCCACCAGGGCAAGACTCTAGCTGGACACTGAAAGTCACTTAATAGAATTTGAAGTAAAGTGGGAAGATCAAAGAATAATCAAGTAAAATGGATTCAGGACAAATTTTCTGTGATTGTGGGGAAATTCAATCAATGCAGCACTTACCATATATTTTCCATGTATAAAATGACACTTTTTCCTAAAATAAGTAAAGGAATAATTGAGGGTTGTTTTATACTTGGAAGTATACATGTTTGCAAAACATGGAGGGAGAAAGCTGCTTTTTGCAACAAAAATGTAGGGAGAAAGCAGGAATCACGTTCCCCCTACACTTTCTTGCAAAGAAAGAAATTTTGGGTTAGAAAAGTGGGGGGTCTTATACATGGGGGCATCTTATACACGGAAAAATACAGTATGTGTATGTCTTATGCCTGACCATGTGTGCAAAAGAAGATCTAGCAAATCACTGAGATAATGCTATTGAAGTAGCCCACTTCTGGTCAAAGCAGTTTAATTATCTTTACATTTTAATTTGTTTTTAATTTTACCTATAATTCCTATACTCCCATAATTTTAAATTGTGGAGCACTCTAATACGAATAAAGAAAGAAAGAAGGAAGCTCACATTACCAAAAATACATCCAATATCTGTTGGGTTCCTTTTCCAAAACATGCAGGTTCAATCCTAAATCAGCTCAGATGCAGCCTTTACTTGGTATGGATGAATCTGGGTCTTAACTTTTTTGTAGCAATTGTTCCAAGAAGTTAGATGAGCAAGAAACAATATAAATTACAATGGCTTTGATGTTATCTAGTTTCCTTTTCTTATATGTGTTCAGACACAACAGAGTAACTTGATAAAGGTACATTGTTTGATTAGAATAGTATGATGGGATAAATTTGTTTTATACACATATATACGATGTAACAGATTATAGATATATGGTTAAGACTGTGTATTTCATGATAAAGGCAGATGCTTAGTCATTATACCAATAGTAATTTCAATTAGTAATTGCAGCTGTCCAAACAAAAGGAGACCAAGGACTCCAAGTTCAGTTATGTTCCATTTTGGAAGTTTTATGGTTGATGGGTTCTTTGCCTTCTTTTATTACATGAAAGCAACAAGATTTTATTGTATGGAAAACAATGTACAGTATGTTGAATTGAAACCATATCTCATACACAAACTATTATGAATAACATGTTGTTGTTTTAAAAGGCGCTAATCTTTTGGGAATCCATATTCATCCCATGATCTGTCATAGATTGTTGGTTATCAGAAGGTCAGATACAGAGATTTTGGCCAAATTTTGCAATTTTGCTCTTTGTAAATACCCACTATTGCAGTGGTGTCAAGCTCAATTTACCTGGGGGCCGCTGGAGGTAGAGTCTGGGTGAGGCTGGGCCGCATCAGATTTTCCGCCAAGTGGAGCAAGAGCCTGAGGAAGCCGCCCAGGAGTTTCCTTAGCCCAGCTGGGGCTCTGAGGAGGAGGAGGGGTGCGAGCCCTCATGGCCGGCCACGACCCCCTCCGGGAGCGCCGGCAACCGCCTAGCCGGGGGGAGAGGAGGGCACGACATAAAAATTTTTTTAAAACCCACACAGAATCACCTTGCTAAAGGAGAAAAGCTCCCATCCGTACCCACGAAATTAAACAGAACAGGGTGCCCCCCACGGGCGTGCGCGCATGTACAAACACACACACACAGGCGCACTCAGCAGCAGCAGCTACCCCCACCATGACAGAGGAGCAAACTTTGCGAGGCGAGCCCAGGCAGCCTCCAGAGCTGAGGTGGCTGAAGCAGAACGAGGAGGAGGAGAAGGAAGCATTGCCGGGCGCTGAGGTGGCCACTGGCTGGGCTGGTGCTGGGGGTGCTGAGAGAGAAAGAGAGCCAGAGGGCCACTTCCCTGGAAGAGGTGCTGTTGGAGGCGCTCTTCAAGGACAGGCTGGGAACGAGCTGCGTTCTCAGGCATCACTTGTCGGCAGCTCGGGCACTTGGGGAAAAGGGCCAGCAGCGCGCCTCGCTCGTCGGCTCTCCCCCAAGACAGTGCCTCTTGCACCCTCCATCTGGAACTGCAGACTGCCAGCTGGAAGACAGGTGGGCTGGCTGGCAGGCTGCAGTTCCGGATCGAGGGTGCAAGAGGCGCTGTCTTGGGAGACAGCCAGCAAGCGAGGGGAGGCTTTTTTTGGCTCTTGACAGCAGAGGACGCGGGGGCACTTTGCGGGGGCAGGCAACGTGGGGGGCGCAAACTATCATCCGGCAGGTCGCAGATGGCCCCCGAGCTGCATGTTTGAGACCCCTGCACTACAGCAAATATCTTATTTGACTCCATGTGCTGTTAACTTATTTGTTGTGCACTACAGCAAATATCTTATTTGACTCCCATGTACTGTTAACAACTTACTCGTTTCATTTTGACAAGTAATTTTTCTTGCCTGATTTACATAATTTGTTTCTTTCACAAGGATCGGCCATTTTTGTGTTTTTTAAAAATTTTCTTCTCTTTGGTGCACTGCCAAAGTTATGGATGCGCATCTCCTGAACTGTAGGTTTTAATTATTTTAAGAGTTCTGCAATGTATGCATTTTTCTTTTGATTGTTTCTTTAGCTAACCTTTCACATTGGCAGAATGTGCTATATCTACTCCCTCCAAATGTCTTTGGAAGCCTATTTTTATATAGTACAGAATAAGATATATTTTATGCCTATTTTTATATGGTACACAATAAGGTATAAGAAGTCAAAGCGGAGTCAGTTTTTAATGGGATCTACACTGTGAAGTTCCAGTTTATAATCATGTGGACATTGCTACTAGATTACAGATTCTCCAGCTGCACTAGCTGGGGATAGTGGGAAAAGTGCAGTAACACACCTGGAGGACATGAGGTTGGGAAGGCTGAAAAAAAAACCTTAGGTGTAGCCCTGTAGCAATATGCAAACTGCTCAACACTGTTTTTCTTCTTCCTTTCAGAATGATATCTTTCTACGACATTATGACAAAGGCCCTTGCCGAAACAAGCTGGGCCATTCCCGTGCCTCAGTGATGTGGAACAGAACACAGGTACACCAAATTAATTAGCCAACCTTGTGTTCATATCAGAATCTGCACATGCAGGAACACAATTTTCCAGTTGCTTATTGCATTTCTCTTTTTAAACTTTTTAGGTTGTTGGAATTCTTGTGGGCCTGGGTATCATTGCTCTGGTAACATCTCCCTTACTGCTCCTAGCCTCACCATGCATCATCTGTTGTGTCTGTAAATCCTGCCGAGGCAAGAAAAAAAACCCATGACCCATCAACAACCTAAGACTTTGAGTCTGTTGGATGTAAATGGCCGTGTCATCTCTGTAAGGGAGCGGATGTTAAGGCTGACCCTCTGGTGCCAGTGCTTTACCAACCAATCCTCCTCTTCTTTGCCAACATCTACAAAAAGTGCCTACCTTTTCATAGGACACAAAATGGTTTGCAAGTTCCTGGCTACAGACATAACGCTGGTTCTAGGGAAACCTTTACCTTTACCTTAACAAGATGGAGATCTCTTCTGTTCCGGCTTCAGTTGTGGACATTTTTGAAGGAAGTAGAGCTTGAAAAGTACTTTTAAGGTTTCTTCAAATGACCCACCTCTGTTTCAGTCTTGCAGATGAAGCTACATCTTTTCCTCCAACTGGATTCTCAATGACTATTGATTTTAAAGCACTCTCACGTTGCTTCTCCTGGAACAGTTCTGCACTTAAATGGAAGGATACAAACAAACAATCCAGTTCTATTTTGAGGAATGTTGAGATCCTGTAAATGTTAGCTCTCCAGGGGCATTTTGATGGACCAAGTCTTGATGTTTTGGAAAGTTGCCATTAAAAAGCCTGTATCTGAAAGGCAAGATATAATAGAATTAAAGTATGTAACATAATAAAGACAGGATTTTGCTAATGTTATACTTTTTCTACAAAACCAGTCTAGACTAATACATGGTCTGGAAGGCATCTGCCTTAGTGGAACATCAGAAACAATGACACACAGCATCATATGCCAATAAGATCACCCTATTTGCATCATTGATTAGGTATGGGAGTAAATTATTATCATGTGTTTTGTAAACATGAATGTTGATGCTAGAAGTGGCAAGTCTAGTAGATAAAGGAATTATTTTTCACTGGTGACCAGTTACAGCTTGCGGCTCTTACGGCAGTGACATGGTGAATTCACCCCATGTTTCAGTCCAAACTTTACAGAATATCTGACCCTATTTGGGGGTAAGGGTCAAAGCTTTAGAAAGCTGCTGTAAAGGTCAGCCTAAAACCTGGAGCAGATTCATTGCCCCCACTGACAACAGAATCATCACTTCCACAGCTGACTACTCCACCATCAGGCTTGTACTACATTCTATGTCTCTCACTCTCTCCTCCTCCTCCTCCTCCTCCCCCCACCCAGCATTGTATTGGTATTACTGTATTCCAGATCCCAAGCGCAGCAGTTGAATCAAGCCTATTGTAAAGTCCAGGTAGCTACACAGGTAGTATAGTAGCATTTTGCTGCCCAATTTGGGGTAACTTGTGGCACACTGGCTATAAGTTCATTGCTCCACAAGGCAGGCTAATACTTAGATTGTGAGCGAAGGGAATGGTGTAGGAACCTAAACTATTGGTTTGGGCAAAGAGAATAGTATGATGGGTGAAAAAGAGACCCATTATCTGTCTAGTTGCTAGCTACAGGATTGCATAAGAGAATTATTTTGTATTCCAGGAATGCAAACTGCCATTCCCCCTCCCTGAATTTCTATGGTAAAATGGGGCACTGTGTATAAATAAGGCAACCCTCTTTCATGAACTGTTAATGTTTCTGTGCACTTAGTGGCTGCAGCAATTTCTTGCTGTGCCCTTGTTTTGGTCTGTACTGAGCAATTTAGAGGTAAGACACTAATATAAATAAAAAAACACTCTTCAAGGGAAGCCACGTGTGCCATATAATAAATATTCTGGGGGTGCACACACAAGTCAAACATGTTTTTGTCTGTGTACTATCGTACACATTATCTTCATTGCCTATATTACAATTAAATAAGGTCATTCAAGAAGAATATGACATTTCGGGGTCAGCTAGTTTAGAAAGATGTTTATCATCTTGCCAAGGAACATAATGAAATGGGTGATGTTTTGTCATTCTTCTGTCTCACACGCATACCCTCAATTCATTAAGCAGCTAAATTTGGTCCAAACCATGGTTGACTGATGCATATTTTCCCCCTTTTGTTCTTTAAAACCAGAAACAAGCCTCAGCTGGCTGTCAGTTTGACCAGAGGAACAGTAATTAGAAGAGTAGTTTAGTCTCTCTGCACTTGGTTTTTATCCTGCTTAAAATTTTCAAGAGAGATTGCAACAAAGCTTTGTACCTCCAATGTTTCTAATCAGCCATGAAATGGGAAAAAATGATTTATAATACCTTAGGTTACTGCATATTTCCTTTTAAAAATGTGCTGGTGAGATTTATTAAGATTACAACTGTCCTACAAAGTGCTTTAAATTGTTGTGGAATCCCTGAAAAAACATGTGAATTGTAGTTCCAGTCTGGTAGTGCCCTCCAGGGTTGTGTTAGACTGCAAATGCCATATTCCCTAGCATGACCAACACTGCCTTTCCCAAACCCTCTAGGACTATAATTCCCATCAACCTGGCCAGTTTTACTGTTGGGATGTTCCAGGAACTAGAAGGATTTGGGTGGGTTTGGAAGCTTTTTGTCAACCATTTTCAGTTTCTAGTGTGATTATTCCCTAACACTCAGGCGATGATCCCATTCAATAAGTCTTTATAAATGGATCTAATTCATTTTTCAATTGACCTAACTTGCAAATATACAAAGAAATAGCTTTGAGGAAAAACGTTCAGACTTTGTATTGGGAAGAGTAATAGATCAATAGTTGTAACCATCTGCCATTCTGCAGCAATTCTGTTCACATTTACATAATGCAAGATTGTGAGTTTTCACCTCTTCAAGGCTGAAATGTGTGAGAGAACGTGTGTTTGTATGTGCATCAAGGAGACCATCTCTTGTGACTTTTGCTGCTGGCCTTTCTAGCTGGTCCAGTGATGCACTTTCATTCTATGCTGCTCCCCTGAATGCTATCTTGGTGTATGACAGCCCATCAAGCAAGGTAAATACTGTGTTCTTAAAATCTCCCACCCAAAATGCTCAGGGGCATCTTCTTCATCAAACTGATTAATCACCAAACCATTGTACCTCTGAATCACCTACCACTCTTCCTAGCTTTCACTTCTACATTTAAGTCTATGATCTCCGAATAGCAAATCTCATTTCAGAATAAGTGAAGGCATGGTGGTTGATCTCTTGATGGGCTACACACAATGCCTTTGTTGTCCTACACTTTCTTGCCAATAAGAGTTTATTATTATTGTGTTAATTTTATTAAAGCCATTTTTAGTTTCCTGCCAAAGCTGCTTTCTTTAAGGATGCCATTCTCCATATTGCTAAGAATGTGTCTGTGTTCTGCCTAGAAACCAAATCTTTAGTAGTTTTGTTTAAAAACAATCAAAAGGGAGAAACATGAATGGTCAATAAGGTGTATCACAGGATTCTTTTAAAAAATTGGAAAATTAGAAGAAAATTGAGGCATTGAGTAATCGCCCACATAAGTCTTCAATATTTGGCTGATGTAGGACTTGAAGGGTTTTTATAGTAAAAGCAGATATTTGTACTCATATTTGATCAGCCTCTGGGTTTAATTTGTATATACATTCCTTACCATTCCTAACATGGCGTGGAAGTGGATCTTTGTAAATGTAATTAAAACTATTTTATGTATGTTTCAGAGGATGCACACATGTATAAAGAAACTATAAATGCTCTTTATAGGTTTTATTTAATTATTCAAGATCCGGAGATTTTAAAACTGGAAATGTACTGCAGCTTCTGTGGTTTCTTTCTCTTTGCCTGTCTCCTCCTTCTAACATCATAATATGCAACATGTGCAAAATTAAAAATTTAGTAAAACCAGTTTGTCTTTGTTTTGTCTCCAGGAAGCTACTTTTAAAACAGATTGCTAATGTTTAGGAAAATTTTGTTACTTACAGAGGACAAGTCGAAGCCATCTGTCATATTTTAAGGATCCTAGGGAGAAGAGCACAGGAAAGGCAGTAAGAAGAAAATCTGCCTTAGAAAATGTTCTTCTTAAATCTTTGTGAATTTAACCCTATGTGTCACATTCTGTATTTCACCTTTGTAGGAGCTCAGTTTTGCAGAGATGGGCCTATCCCATTGTTACCTTCATATGAACAACAACTTTTTATAGCTAGTATAAAGATAAAGACTACAATCCTTTTGAGAAAACCTTACGCATACTGTAAATGTAATTGTGCAGCCATTTTTCCATTTTAGCTTGCCGTCTGGCACATCATGACTAAGCATGCATCTGTTTCCTCAGCTGAAGAGGATCAGGAGTGCACAGATGGACAGCGGTATAGGTAAGCTACCTTGTGCTATTACATATTTACACAGCACAATTCCAAGAAGATTTTGGTCAGTATATTATAAATTGACTTGCCCCATGCTTGGAAAAGTTACCTTTCTGGACTAAAATAAAGTTACTTTTCTATAACCTGCACTTTTCTTGGATTATTAATGACGCTTCTGGTTGAACATCACACTCTAACTTCTCTGATCTTAGTTCAACACTGAATATGCTAGCTATATCAGCATGTTGGTCCAGGAAAAATATCAACACAGAGTCTGTGGACTTGATGCTCAATGATATACTTCATTCCTCTCTCTTAGTGTCAAACCAGCACAACATGTTTTTTGCTTTTTGCCATCCACATTTTTCAAGGCATGTCCAGCCTTGATTTTCTTCTAGTCTCAGCTGGATGTTTTGCATCTCTAGTGATCTGCTGCCTGCTGATACATAATCACAGAGAAAGAAAATGCATCCAAAGAATCCAAAAGATGCATGTTCTGGTTTGTGAATGGATGCAAGACTGGAAGTAATGATTGTAATTTACATGGACAGATTTTGAATTCTTAAACTGTTCCAATAAGAAGGAAAAATGGGAGATGTCTAAAGAAACCAGAATGGTTGACTAAAGAACTTTCAACTGAACTAAGTGTTAAAAAACATGTACAAGAAATGGAAAAATGGGGAAAACAACAAAGAGGAATACAAGCCAATAGCCAGTATATTTAGGGGGAAGGTAAAAAAAGAAGAGAAAAAAGTGCAGAATGAACTCAGGCTTGCCAGACAGATTAAAAACAATAAAAAGGGCTTTTTTTAGTTATGCCTATAGCAAAAGGAAAAACAAGGAAATGATAGGGTCGCTGTGTGGAGAAGATGGCCAACTACTAACGGAGAACAAGGAAAAGGCTGAACTTCTCAAAACCTTCTTTGCCTCAGTTTTCTCCAAAAAGGAAAATAGTGCTCAACCTGAGGGGCGAAGAGCAGGTGATGTAGTGGGGGAAATGCCGCACAGAATAGGTAGAGAAGTAGTGTAGGAATACCTGGCTACTCTGAATGAATTCAAGTCTCCAGGGCCAGACGAATGACATCCAAGGATATTAAAAGAACTGGCAGAAGTAATTTCATAACCATTGGCAATAATATTTGAGGCTTCTTGGAGAACAGGAAAAGTCCCCACAGACTAGAGGAGGGCAAATGTTGTCCCTATCTTCAAAAAGAGAAAAAAATAAGACCAAAATAATTATTGCCCAGTCAGCCTTACATCAATTCTGGAAAACATTCTAGCACAGATCATTAAACAAACAGTTTGTTATTATGGTTGTTGTGGGTTTTTTGGGCTTTTTGGCCATGTTCTTAAAGATTTTCTTTCTAACATTTTGCCAGTCTCTGTGGCCAGCATTCTCAGAGGACAGGAGTCCAAATCTCTAGTTTGTTATTACTTAGAAAGCAATGCTGTCATCACTAAAAGTCAACATGGGTTTCTCAAAAACAAGTCATACCAGACTAATCTGATCTCTCTTTTTTTTTTTTGATAGAGTTACAGGCTTGATGGACGAAGGAAATCCTGTGGATGTAGCATATCTTGATTTTAGTAAGGCCTTTGACAAAGTTCCCCTTGATATTCTTGCAAGGTACCTAGTAAAATGTAGGCTAGACAGTGCTACTGTTTGGTGGATTTGTAATTAGTTGACTGACTGAATCCAAAAGGTGCTCACCAATGGCTTCTCTTCATCCTCGAGAGAGGTAACTAGTGGATGCCTCAGGGTTCAGTTCTGGGCCCTGTGCTATTCAACATCTTTTTCAATGACTTGGATGAAGGAATAGAGAGTATGCTAATTAAATTTGCAGATGATGCCAAATTGGGAGGGGTTGCTAATTCCCCAGAGGACAGGATTAAAATTCAAAATGATATTGACAGGTTAGAGTCCTGGGCCAAAACTAACAAAATGAATGTCAACAGGGAGAAATGTAAGGTCGTACACCTAGGCAGAAAAAATGAACTGCACAGATATAGGATGGAAGACACCTGGCTAGACAACAGTATCTGTGAAAGGGATCTAGGAGTCTTGGTAGACCACAAACTGAACAGGAGTCAGCAGTGTGATGTAGCTGCCAAGAAAGTGAATGCAATTCTTGGTTGCATCAATAGGAGTATAGTGTCAAGATTAAGGAAGTGATTTGTTGTTGTTTAGTTGTTAAGTCATGTAGAACTCTTCGTGACTCCATGGACTAGAGCACGCCAGGCCCTCCTGTCTTTCATTGCCTCCTGGAGTTGAGTCAAATTCATGTTGGTAGCTTTGATGACACTGTCCAACCATCTCGTCCTCCGTCATCCCCTTCTCCTCTTGCCTTCACACTTTCCCAACATCAGGATATATATAGTGACTTGCTTCCCAAAGTACAAACACATTATTATTGCATATAAAAACACACATAAAAACCCTGGGTTGATATGAAAACACAATGTGTGTTTCCCATTGTGATACCCAGTGAGCACCCCTGGGTTTCAAATCAACCCTGGGTGCTCACTGGAAAGACAGATCCTGAAGCTGAGGCTCTAATACTTTGGCCATCTCATGAGAAGAGAAGACTCCCTGGAAAAGATCCTGATGTTGGGAAAGTATATATATAAAACAGGTACACATATATCCTAGTAGATCATTAAATGCCTTGGTGGTTTTTGGAATAGAGCAGGAACAAAATAAAGGTTTGTGAACCATCAAGTTTACAACAACATGCAAATTCTAGATTCTTAATGCAAATTTTGTTAATTGCACATGAAGATGTGCAGCTTAGGTAACTTTCCATGGGAATTCCCAGATTCCAAATCATAGAGTCTTTACGCCACCAAGTGGTAGAACAATGTGAATTCTGTCATTTTATTTTCTATTCTTATTCTAGTGTGCACAGAGTAGTCAAAATCTACATTTAGTAGGTTCTCCAAAGGGTGCCAATTCACCATGAAAAGTAGGTCATTGAAACAAAGTGTTGCTTCATATTATCTTGTTCAGTATGATTCTGTTAATAAACGCATTCATGTATGTATATACAAAAACAACAAGGAGTCTTGGGGTACCTGCTAGACTAACAAGTTTTATCTTGCATAAGTGTTTATGGGCTTAGCCTACTTCTTATGATGCACAGGACATAATATTTAAACTACAGATTTATATGTACATTTGTTCTGGTTACGAATGTGGGGCAGAATGAAATGTGACACAGAAAATGACAACAGTATTATTTACACTGGCCATAAACTTTCAAAGGGCTGGGTAGCATAAAACATTTTATTTATCTTATTAAACTATTTGTAACCCATCTTTCTTCTTTAAAAGGATCCAAGGTGATGTAAACCAATTAAAAGACAGTATTTGTTAGTAACCATGAGCATGCAATACTAAAGCGATCAATAAATACAACAACAACAACAACAACAACAACAACAACAACAACAACAACAACAACAACAACAACAACAACAACAACAACAACAACAACACATTCAATTCCATAAGGTAGAACAACCCATTTTAGAAACCCCACTTGGAACCCATTCATTCAGAGAAAGACTGCCTGAAGAGAAAGGTCTTTGCCTGCTTGTGGAAGGACAGCAAAGATGGACCCAACCTGGTCTCCTGTAGGACAGAGTTCCAAAGTGTGGGAGCAGCAACAGAGAAAGCCCTGTCCTATGTCCCTACTGAGTACACCTGTGAAGGTGGGGGACTGAGAGAAAGGCCTCTCCTGATGATCTTAACAGTTGAGCAGGCTCATAAAGGGAGAAGTGGTCCTTAAAATAGCTTGAGCCCAAGCCATATAGGGCTTTGTAGGTTAGAACCATCACTTTGAATTCTGCCCAGAAACAGACATGTAGCCAGTGGAGCTGCTGTAACAGTGTGTGTGTGTGTGTGTGTGTGTGTGTGTGTGTGTGTGTGTGTGAGTGAGTGAGTGAGTGAGTGAGTGAGTGAGTGAGTGAGTGAGTGAGTGAGTGATCCTTGTGTCCAGCCCCAGTTAGCAATCTGGCTGCTGCATTTTCGACACACTTAAGTTTCCTGACACTTTACATAGGCAGCCCCACGTAGAATTTGTTACAGTAATCCAGCCAGAATGTAACTAAGGCTCGTGGCACCATGGCCAAATCAGACCTTTCCAGGAAAAGGCACAGCTGGCACACTAGTTTTTATTGTACAAAAGGGCCTCTGAGCCTGGGCATCCAGGCTCAGAGGTGAATCCAGGAGTGCCCCCAGGCTACACACCTATGTTTTCAGAGGGAGTGCAACTCCATTCAGCACAGGCTGCATTCCAATTACTTGATTCACCTTTTGACTGACCAGGATCACCTCTGTCTTGTCTGTACTAAATTTCAGTTTATTCACATTCCAGTAAGGGTGAATTCAGTTACATGAGACAGTGCCCCTTTAAGGTCAAAACAATGGTGTCTGTTTACCAGAGAATGTTTGTTTCAGCTGAAAGCAGAAGTGAGATGTCTTGTCTTATAGCTGAATATTTCTGCTTCCAACAAATTCACACACAAGGTACAATTCTGTAGTGACTTGGAGGACTTCTATAGTCTGCACTTCAAAA